ATATATATATATATATATATATATATAAACTACATGTCTAAAAAACTAATTCTTAAAATTCTCTCAAAAAATAAAAAGTAAAATATATTTTTGACAAAACTATCCCAAGTGATTTAATTGCATAAATATTATTTCAAAATTGTCAATGGTTTTGTCTGATGCAGCATTTCATTCAGTCAGAAATTGTTCAAACTTGTCCTCTCTATTTCTTTTTATGGTTCTAAATTGAGCATGCACAACTTCATGTATTCACCTTTTTTAGGATTATACTTTACTTCTATTATTAAAATAAATAATAATAAAATATTAAGCAATTCTTTTTATTTATATTTACAATTATTATTTGCTTTATAAAATTAGTTGAGATATATAAAATTAGTTCGATAACACAATTACCGCAAAATAGATAAAAATTAAAATTGAAGTCTAAGACTCAGTTTTGATCTTAGCTGATAAGTAAGCATTTTAAATTTAAAAATGTACATTTAAATACTTTAATTTGATGAAATCACAATTTATTTTTATTGTATTTCCGTCGTTCTTATACATCCAAACCTGACGTAATACATAAATTTAAAGGTGTCTACATAAGCCTTTTGAAATTAATTGATGTGTTCAATCGACACGATGAAAATGAGTTAAAATATATGTATTTTCAAAATTGAAATATGTTCTATATAATATGCTTAATTATTAGAGAAAAATGTTAAAAGTATTCGTAATTTCTATTTTTTTGAATTTCATACCTAGATTATTCGATAATATAGAGTTGTGGAGAGTGTGAAGCTACACACATTGTGAGGAGCGTGAAAGCAAGTAGAACTAAACTCCAATACCATCCAAAACCCTAGATTTCTGAGCCCTCCTAGGCAAAAAAATGTGTAGTGTTTCTTTTTTCCTCAACAAAAATTTACAGTAAAATAAATTATGTTTGGGTGATACATATTTGAAGTAAAATTAAAATTAAAATTTAAAATTTATAAATTTAGAATTATGAGTTATTTAAATTATTAATATTTCAAAATAAAAAATCTATGAATAGTTTTAATTAGTCTAAATTAAAATTATTAGATTCAATTGAGTGCATACCTTAAATATCAGAGTCAGAATTTAAAGCTTACAACTTAAAGTTAGACATCCTTAAATTGGTTAGACATGCAAATTAAAATATTGTTTTTAAAATAATTTTTAAAGATAAATTTTTAAATAAAACATTAATTTGTGATTTTTCTAAAATCAAATAAATAAGATTTTAAAGTGTTGGTAATATTATTAAATATTTATTCTATTAAAAAAAATTGACTAAAAAGAATACATCGTATTTCCTCTATTCCTATGTGACAATTTTACATTTTACGTGCATTAAGAAACTATATAAGTTTATTAACAATTATGTTTTTAATTAATGAACATGAGTTAATTTATTTTAATTACAATTTAACTAATAAATATAAATTATTCACTTAATTTTTCTATATCGATCAATATTTACATGAGTATATATTTTTAAAAAATTATATAAATAAAAACGAAACGAGAATAAATTAAGACAGATAGAATAATAAAATATTGACACACACTCTCAAAGGCTCAAGAGAAAGCCAAAAGAAAAGTGGGGTTCCTTAAAGTTCCCATTTTATGTAAATTTGTATTCCTCCCTCTAGACATGCTTTGAAGTTTGAACTTGTGTTTGTTGTATACTGCATTCACTGCATTTTGCATGTCTTTGAACTTTGCAATTAAAAATAAATAAATTATAAACTATAAGAAAAAATGGATAATAAAATAGTAAGGTATATAATAAATAAAATAATAAACATAGCATATAGTTATTTCATTTTAATTATTTGAGTTAGTTTGATATGATATTAAGTTCACAAAAAAAATCATAATTTATGATCTAAAATAACTCATATATATTTATGATCATATCTGAATCTGGTATTTTTGACAATATATATATATATATATATGGATAAGTATTTCGTCAACCTATGTTCGAAATCTCAGAGACACTATACAAAGGTCCTATTACTCCCCTGAACTTATTTTATTAATAATTTTCTATCACTTTTAGGCCTACGTGACGTTATCTTGTGAGTTCAATGCTGATTGACTTTTTTTTTTAAAATTAGTGCCACGTAGGTTTGAAAAGGCGTAGAAAATTACTTATAAAATAAGTTCAGAAGGATAATAGAACCTTAGTATAGTATAAGTGTGTCTCTAAAATTTTAGACATAGATTAAGGGGGTACTTGCGTATTTTTTCTTAATATTATAATGAATTAAGTGCTAAAATATTTAAAGGTTGTCCCCATTTAATTTAAATAATGGAGTGCTAATTATTTCTTTTCTTGAAATTATATTAAATGTATTGTTATTTTACAATCCGTATCTTAAAAATCTAATATTTTTTGACAAAAATTATCAATATAGATATTAGATTTACATTTAAAATTTTAATAATATAATGAATTAAGTGCTAAAATATTTAAAAATATATTAAATGCTAAAATATTTAAATGTTGTCCGCATTTAATTTAAATAATGAAGTCCTGCTTATTCTTTTTCTTGAAATTATATTGAATATATTGTTATTTTACGATCAACATTTGAAGAAAGATTCCCATTATTTACTAATATGCCCTCCTATGATAATCAATCCCATTTCTTGTTAATCTAAACGATTTTATCCAAAACAACAAAACCTAAGACACTCGAAATATTAAAACAAGATGAACAATAATTAAAGAATAAACAAATTAAATCGTGTTTAATTATGTTTACATGCATGCATTAAGCTAATTAATTTAGCCTTGGATTAATAAAACAATGTATGATACATTATTAATTGATTATTTTATTTGAAGTAAGGACCATGGAAGAAACAAGGATATGTCTTCATGTCGTAATTAAAAATAACAAAAATTAGATAGAATATAAACATAAGAATAAGAATAATAAAATAATAAGGAGACATATGTAGCCAATATAGACAAAGGAAAATTCTTGTTTTGTTTATGTATGGTCCCATAAAGATAAATTTCATATATATTTGATCCGATTTTTTTTAGAGTCAAACGAATTATTTTTATCATATTTTTTTTGAAAATAATATTAAATAACACTAGTGAACGAAAATTCTCTATAAATTAACAAGTTTTAGCCTATTATTATTTGCAATCCTTCTTCTTTATTCGAATATATATATATATATATATATATAATAAAATAGTTAGTATAAGCAAACTCATATTGATAGAGAGGGGTTATAGTAATTTTATTTACCTTTTTATATGGCTTATAAGTATTTTCAATTATTAGTTATTCTGACTTATAATTCTTTTACATTTTAATATAGTATATAAATTTTATTTTTAAATTTTTAAAAAGTCTTCATATCCTATTCACGGTTATAAATGAAAAAAAAATTTACTCTTGAAATCTAAATTATACTATATAATAATAATCTATTATATAATCTTTCACAAGTAAAATTTGAAAAAATAACGTTATGCTGACCTTGTCCTACTTTATTAAGGTAGAAATACTTTTC